ACTGCAAGTGAGTTGCAGTATTTTGTGACTCAACAACAGAAACCATATCAATATGTTTGTCAGCAAGTAAATTCTGCTCCTCAAGTGATAGTTGTTGCTCAGCACAAGCAATGATAACTTCTCGAGCTTCTCAACCAGGTCTGTTGCCTTTTCCAACATCAGTTCCAACCATTGAGTGGTTCCCAGACTCTGGTGCCAGTCATCATGTTACTTCACATCCATCCAACTTACTTCAGAGTCAACAACTCTCTAGTAGTGATCAAGTAATCATTGGTAACTGACAAGGTTTGCCTATTCTTGCAATTGGTTCATCAAAAGTGTTATCTCCTGTTGATTGTCAAACAAAATTGAAACTTAAAAATCTTATTCTTGTTCCTTCCATAGTGAAGAATTTGCAAGTCATCCACACCTTTTCTTATTTCATTAATTGAATTTCATTTGTTGATTAGGACAAAATTCCATAAAAACACCCACCCACCCTTTTTGAATTATCCTGAACGGTTCTAAGTGTTAGACATTTTGCACAAGATAACAATGCTTACTTTGAATTTCACTCCTCTAAATGCCTTGTCAAATTGCAGGAGTCCCATAAAATTCTTCTAGAAGGAACAGTGAGTAAAGATGGTTTGTACTGTTTTCCAAGTATGCATCTACCTCACGTCACTACATTTGTTCAGTCTCCTTTTGTTTCACATCCAATCTCAATGGTCTCAACATATGTCTAGTCTCCTTCAGTGTCACATCCAGCTTCAATGGTTTCAAGTTGTAATAGTTCACAGCTTTATACTTGTACAAATTCCAATGTCATTTCTAATACTTCTTACTCATTGTGGCACTGTAGCTTAGGACATCCACATCATGTAGCTTTAAAGAGAGTTCTCAATTCATGTAAAATTTCCTTTGATGATAAAAATGAGCTGGATTTTTGCTCTTCCTGTTGTCTTGGAAAAGCACATAGATTTCATTCTCCTCCTTCACAATTTGTCTATAATATCCCTTTTGAATTAGTCTATAGTGATCTTTGGGACCAGTACCTATAAAATCTACTCTTGGTAATTTATACTACATTTCCTTTGTAGATGCAAACACAAAGCATACTTGGATATATCCCATTAAACAAAAATCAGATGCTATTGCCATATTCAAACAATTTCATTCCATGATTACAAATCAGTTCCATGCTTCTGTTAAGGCTATCGAAACAGACTGAGGTGGGGAATTTCGATCTTTCACACAATTCCTACAACAACATGGTATTTTACATTGGGTAACCCGTCCTCATATGCAACACCAAAATGGTGTGGTTGAGAGAAAACATAGACACATTGTGGAGATTGGTTTGACCCTTCTTTCTCATACATCTCTTCCTCTAAAATTTTGGGACTATGCATTTAATTCAGTCGTCTATCTCATCAATCGTGTACCCATAGCTTCCTTGGATTTTGAAATTCCTTACACAAGACTTTACAAAGCTAAACCTGATTACAAGTTCCTGAAAATTTTTGGGTGTGCTTGCTTTCCCTTTTTAAGACCTTACAATAATCAAAAACTCGAATATAGATGTCAAGAGTGTGTTTTTCTTAGATATTCCACCAGTCATAAAGGGTACATTTTCCATAACAAGGATGGCAGAATATTCATTTCAAAATATGTAATTTTGAATGAATATTTGTTCCCCTTTGCTAGTTCCTGGACGGCAACAATGCCTCTCCTGTTCCAGCAGCCACCCATTTTATACCTCTCTCCATTTCAACTTCTTCAACAGTCTGCAGTTCTTTATCGAATGCACAGGGTCCTACTTCATTGAATTCTCACTCAGAACAGTCTACACCTTTGTCCAGTGCATAGTTGTCAGTAGCAGTTAGCGACCGGTACCAGCTGACCCCAAAAATGGTATAGCGGTGTAACGGGTAGCGGTATTGCCGCTACGGTGAAGTATTAATTCCACATATATTATACTAACAGTCAAGAAACGAGGCAATACCGCATTAGTATTAATGCTCAAACATAAGAAGTCACACAAAATCAAACACATAATTCCACAATCAATGTCAAATACAAGGAACATAAAGGAAGGATCCAAAATTAAACACGAATGAACAATAAAATTGTCAAATAATCAAGTACAAGAAGTGAACTAATGAAGAAAACATCATCTTCGGATTCTCCATCAAATTCCAACATGGGAGTGGTGTAGCGGTGTAGCGGTATTGCCGCTACGCTATGCCGCTACCTTCAGCTACGGCCAATGTCGGGTAGCGTCGCGGTTTGTAGCGGCCAACCGCCGCTATCCGCTACAGCGCTACGGGCCGCTACTGACAACCTAGGTCCAGTGTCAACCATAATCATCTAACCTCATCACCACAAATTCCTAATCACTCTCCCACACCTGGTTCTCAACTCGTATCCCCTCCTATAAATTCTGTTCCCAATCGAAACTCCCCAACTCCTCCTTCCTTGGAGTCCTGTACTGCCTCCTCATCATCCTCCTCACATGAGTCTGTCAATTCTGAGTTCTTGCCCTCTAACACCTTTCTTCTTCATTCACTTGTTTGTTCCATTCAAACCAGATCCAAAACTCTAGCTAGAGCTCAAGCTCTCCTTACTCATGTTGAACCAACTTTAGTTAAGCAAGCCCTTTCCAATCCACCTTGGCTTGAGGCAATGCAGATCGAGTATAATGCTTTGTTGGCTAACCACATTTGGTCTCTTGTTACTCTTCCTCATGACAGGTCTGCAATTGGATGTAAATGGTTGTTCAAATTAAAAGAAAATCTTGATGGCTCAATCATCTAATATAAAGCACGGTTGGTTGCCAAAGGTTTTAACCAAAAACCTAGATTTGACTACAATGAGACTTTTAGTCCAATGGTTCGCCCAGTTACTGTTCACATTATGCTTACCTTGGCTCTCACTCAAGGCTGGACTCATAGGCAATTAGATGTTAATAATGCCTTTTTAAATGGTGATCTTGATAAAGAAGTGTACATGATTCAGCCTCCAGGTTTTGAAGGATCTAATAAACAACTTGTATGCAAGCTTAACAAGGCTCTCTATGGGCTCAAACAGGACCCACGAGCATGGTTCGATAAATTGAAAACTTCTCTCCAATCTTTCGGTTTCCAGGCCAGCAAGTGTGACCCATCATTGTTTATCTGTCATTGCTCATCCAGCTGCACTTATATCCTTGTTTATGTGGATGATATCATTATCACGGGCTGATTCTGTTTTTATTGATCATCTTGTTACTCAACTCAATTCCCAGTTTGCTTTGAAAGATTTGGGTTCTCTTGATTATTTTCTTGGTGTTAAAGTAAAGAGGTCTTCTAATAAGATATTGTCTAAATCCAAGTATATTCGTGATCTTCTTGCTAGAGCCTCTATGCATGAAGCTAAAGGAATATCTTCCCCTATGGCTAGTGGCTGCAAGTTGTCTCGCATAGGTTCTCACTTCTACTCTCACATCTACTCTGATCTTCATCACTACAGGTTCATTGTTGGTGCTCTTCAATATGCAACCATTACTCGGCCTGACATTTGCTATGCAGTGAATAAAGTTTGTCAAAAGAATTCTGCACTACTTGGCAGGAACTAGGCAGGAACTATCTACTTTGTTTTACAGCTCAAGGGATATTACTACTGGTGCACCCAAATGACAGGAAGTCCACTTCAGGTGCAGCCATTTTTCTTGGTCCGAATCTTATTTCTTGGTGGTCCAATAAGCAAACATTGATTGCATGATCTAGTACTGAAGCTGAGTATTGAAGTTTAGCCATTACTTGTGTTGAACTCTTGTGGATTCAGTCTTTGCTTGGAGAGCTCCATATTTCCTTCTCTATTCCTCACACCTTTTGTGACCACCTGAGTACGGTTGCTTTGACTCGAAATCTAGTTCTCCATGCCAGAACCAAGCATATGGAACTCGATATTTTCTTCGTTCGTGAGCGTGTTCTCAGCAACAAACTTGTGGTCATGCATATTCCCTCTACTGATCAGCTAGCTGATACCCTTCCTAAGCCTCTAAGTTCTGTTCGTTTTGCTGATTTGAGAGCCAAGCTCAAAGTCTTGGATGGTTCTCTTGTTGCTTCCAAGCCTCCTTGAGCTTGCGGGAGGATATTAGTGATATGAACAAGCTTTAGCTTTGTGTTCTGTTGTATCGTGTATATGTAGGTGTATGTAGCTATGTTATTCTGCTACTGCATGTATCAGATCTTTCTTTCTTCTGTTAGTTTGTTTCTCTGTTTCTCTATTTTGTAAGTTTGTTATTCTGGTGTCTCAGATCAGATCTGAGTCACCATTGTGCTCTATAAATAGAGCTTTCATGTACAAGTCTTATTAGTGCGAAATATTCAGTTAAATCAATGGCTCTCTCTCCCCTTCTCTCTCTCCTTCTCTCTCTCTCTAGAATTCTGATAACTGCACCAGCAGGTGATCCAAATCCAAGGATTAGCCTACTGCCATAAAGCCCAAACAGAACAGCAAATCAACATGGCTCAAAACAGAAACAAAGCTGTCCAATTTCTTTGTGCTTTAAGACAACCATCAGCAGAACATCAAGAAGAAGCAGTTAACACAATCCTATCCAATGTAAGTGCAAAGAGACACCCTTGAAAATATGGGCATTCCTCGACAACCAAATACATGAGAAAACTACATGGACTGCACACTACCATTAAATCATTGTCAGCTTATTCTTACCAAAACCTTTAGAAGGTATCAGACACACTGACCATCGATTTCACATTACTGACAATATGCAAGGGAAATAGGACGCAAGCCGTAATTTTAACTAAGCCATATAGTTAAATGTGTAATGGATTTAGAAGTACAAATATTGTATTTATACATTCCAGAGGCATCCATTTGACCATCTGAAAATCACTTGGATTTGGTCAAATTCAACTGCTGAGGGGGAGCAGGGGACAGAAAAAAGAATGCAAGAAAATACCATTATACATGAAAAGTGGCATTCTATGAATGAGTTTAAGAGCTGAGTGCACCTGAGTGGGCGTAAATCTAACTGAATTTTGTTTTGGCTGATCTTGAGGATAAGGGCCAGGGTCAGGAGGAGTATATGCCTCAATAATCAGTGTTTCTCTCTGATGAATAGCATCAGCCATATCAATACCATTTGTTGCACCAATAGTAGACACTGCACTCACAGTAAGAGCACCATTGTTTCCTTTGAGCTTTTGGGGAAGCTTGATCTTAAAAGGAGGCCTTGGATTCAAGTTTTCTGTGCCATCAGGATTAACAAAAGAAACCTGAAGGATACATGAAGAAACAAATATGAATATCTTAATTTCATACTAAAATTCCCAAAGGAAAACTTCAATCACATCCATGCAACAATAATATCTACAAATCTATAAATGACATACCAACCTCATAATCCACAAAACATTCTTTCAAGTGATCAGCATCTATGAAAGTATCTTTGAAATCAACTGTTTCCAATAGATCAGGCATATTAGTCCACTGTGCTGCTGAAGGATCTCCATAACCAAGAAAAATGTTTTCCAACCACTTAGGAACAATACAGTATTCATTCATTAAATCCCTTATTGATTCTAAGATGGCTTTAAAATTGTTTTCTTTTGGCTTCCTCCTCATCAACACATTGAATGTACCATAAACATCTTCTGCCCCTTTCTCAGCAATGTTATTGACATCCATGTAGTATTGTGCTGTATCCAAAGCCACAGTTATTGTTCTCAGCTCCCCCTTTGGTGGCTTCCACTCATCCCTTTTAATCCTTCCAGAAAAATCATTCATGAGGGTTCCTTCTTCATCACGAATCTCAATAATTTCACATCCTCGAACATATTGTAGGCCAAGCTTCTGAGGCACACTAGCTTTGTCTTCTTCTTCTGGACTAAGAGGCTCAAATGATGGGTTAATAGATAGTAAAAACAATACATCATGTTCTTTGAGTGCATCCCATTCTGATCTAATCTGGGATCTATAGCTGGAAATGCTATAAGTAACTTCTGCAGTCACAGATGATGGCTTGACTTCTCCTATGTTGGGTTGTTTTACTTCAGTGATCTTCAATTGTTTAATTGGCACACCCATTCTTGACCAACCTCGAAAAGCAGTTTCTCCATCAATATTAATATATGCAAGAAGATGTGGAACAGCTTCCTGAATGTCCTCACGTATCTCATATGTTGATTCAAGTCGAAAGAGATTAAAGTTTCGAAGAAGATAATCATGAAGTGTTAAGAATTGTAAGTTAAGCTTTGGCAAAGCCAAACAACCTTCTCCTGAGTAATTTATGCTTGGTACAACACTTTCATCCCACATAATCTGCTCGTTTGGGTAAAGAGGAAGAGCATTGATAGCTTCTTTTTGAGATTGTTGCTTCTCAAAAAAGGATACCATTACTTCATTAAGAAAATCAACCCTCTCTGACCAGGGATCTTCCTTACAGACCAGTTTGAGCTGCATTAAGAAACATTGTCACAAACAGTAGTTTTTAGGTATTGAAAATCAATGCATGGCTCACACTTGCAAGCATAATTATACTATATCTAAAACTAATCAACAGAACCAGTACATAATACTATATAAGCCCCTTTGGCAAAATTTACAATAGCTAGCCTGCTAACATCTTGTAAAGATAACAAAAGATCACTCCCCCCTTGTAGTATCATAATCCAGAAATCAACGATAAGGAAGCCTGTATGGATTTAGAAGAAAGGTGAAGCAAGCTCTTAAATTGAGGTAGAACTCACAATTATCTGGATAAGTATATTAATGACAACTAAATTGAAAAAGAAAATTTTACAATTTATCTTCAGAACAGAACTTGATGTATTGCTAATTTCACGAACTCCCACCGAAGATACAGGAAAATTGAGAGTAAATTAAAAAGAGAAAAAGATATAAAGCAAGACAGGAAGAAGAATAAGTAAAATTTAAACTAAAACACTAATAACTAACAGCAATAAAGATATAGTAACAAACAATTCTAACTCTCAACACTGAATAAGTGGTACAGGGAATAATTGAAGATCAAAAATCAAGATTATATAAAAAAATAATAATAATAATGAAGACGTGTAAAGAGTTGCATCTATTTATGACACACCTTACAGCAAACCAAATTCCTTAACTCCTCGAGAGAAAGAACAGACAATTTCTTAGATAGACTTGCACGCTTGTGAATAGAACCAATGTTAGTCAAAGCAAGTTCCCGCAGCTACAACCAGAATGAAAAAAGAAATTATCATAATCAGCTCATTCCAACAAACATGAAATTAGGGGGAGGTAGGATGAGAAATTACATGATATTACACTAAATACATAGTAGAGGAGGATTTTTATTAGATTTTCTTCATTTAGTTAAATCACATCTAAACATACCTTGCCCATCTTTTTAAATGCAAGTAGCTGAAATGACTGCAGTCGGCTATAATGAGATTCAAGAACTTCATGATCTGTTAACTGTGTGCCAGTATGATCATTAATCTCAAATCCCTCATAGAATTGTAATAAATCAACCAACTGGGCAAAAAGTTTCCCCTTTTCATGCCTATAGAGTGCACTCAAATGGCATTTGGCAACTACAGCTACATCAGCCACTAGAGGCCTTAAATACCTACAACACAAACGAGGAGAAGAGTAAATAGATATATTAGGAAAACAGAAAGCATTTATTCAGTAAGATTACACAAGCAGAATGACTTGTCTAAAACCTTCTTCCTTAATGTCTAAGAATGAAATCCATTTTCAGTCCAACCACAGTTTCCAGGGAAGAAAAAGAATATTGCTAATCATGGAAGTGATTTAATCAACCATTTCCATCAATTGCAGTATATATATAAAATTCAAATTATATAATATTAAAGAAAACAACTCAACCTTTAAACAATAGAGACCGCAGATAATCAATCATATTAACATACCTCCTCGTTGGCAACTGACTCAAGAGGTCAATAAGAAATTCCATAAACCTCTCACAATAAAGGACACAAGCATCATTAACTAGTCCTGAACCAGTAGCATCAATAAGTTCATCATCCTCACCAGATACCTGTCTCCGGGGAAAAACCTGTGAATCCAGTATCTAAAAAGAAAAAGAAAAAAGGCAACAAAAAGACATTCAGCCAACTACTTTTAAGAAAATATTTCGTACTCAAAAACATGAGAGATTATAGCATAGTTTCAAAGTGCTTAACCAATTACAACCTTCAGAAATTCTTCTATGAGGTTTCTCAAGAACATCACTTCAAGAGTAGTTGAGGGATCTAAATGCTGTCCTCCTTTCACGGGTTCCTTCCTCGTCATCCTTTTCCATTTCTTGATCAAACCCGGATTAAGGCAAAGCTCCATCTACATAGGTGAAAAACAATAGCACAAAATGCATTTAGCTTGAAAAGAATAACATTAATCACCAAAATTTAGAAAGAATAACAAAAACAAATGTAATATTCCACCACAAAAGTTGATCTTTTCGTTCAATCTTACCTGGAAACGACCATGAGACAAACTGTACCAGGATTTCAAACTAGCTAGTCTCAAGACTGTGTTGCTAACAACCTCATCTTCCAAACTCTGCAATGCGAAGTTATTAGCTTAGGTACATTCAACAGTAATCTAAGGGCCTATTTTGTTGACTGCCATGAGAATGTTAAAGGAAATGAAGCAGAATAAAATGACTACTCCAACATTCTTGTTAGGTAAGTTAAATAAAACTTAAAACGCCAAATATGTAAACATGTACATTTACAGCCAACAAATATGATGGCTTAAGTAGAGGATGAAGCTCGGTACCGGCATACCTGAAAGGCATTTATCATGAAAACTAGGTAATTTGTCTTCTCGGCTATACTCAGTTCTCTTCCCTACAGTAAAATTTGAACATAAAATTTAGCAAAATGTTACAATGTACATAGGGTTCAACCATCAAACGTCACCCTCCCACTTCAACAGGTAAAGAAAAAGGAGTAAGCCTCCTCTAAAGTGAGCTTGTGTGTAAAATGCACAAGTAAGGGTGCTTCTACTTTACACACACAAAGGGAAGCAAATGCGGTTATAATGCATACATCACTGAGTAAAAGAAACGAGATAGATAGGGAGAGAGATAGAGACCTGTTCCTTTAGGCGAAGAACCCTCTCAAGAAACCCTTTGAAAACATCTTTCCTATCATAGAAGCAAACCCAAGCTGCAACATTCTCTCGGAACTGCAAGCCACACACACAAAAACGTTACACAACAACACGCTATGCATAAATAAAAACTTAAAACTGATTGAACAGAAGAGAAGACCAAACCTTCTCGTTGACCATGAGGATGATGGACATAACATGCTCGAATGAAGCAGTGAGAGGGTCGAAATTAGGCCAAAGGTAATTCTCCAGATACTGACTAACCTCAAGGATCATCACCCTCTGCAATGGAACAGGTTTGTCACCCTGACCCTCTTTCACCAACAATTCAGTTTCGTAAATTTTCTGAACCAGGTCAGGGTCGAAGGGCTTCTTGGTCCTTTCCGCATCACCGGTTTTCAACCAGTTAGCCTCTGCAATCTTCGTGAGACGGTCACGCTGAATCTCAGAGACAGTGATTGTGCTCGAAACACTTGCCTTTTGATTCGACTCCGCCGACGACGACGACGACGCCACCGGGTACTCCGCCACTCTGTGACGCCGGAAATCGTACACCCCTGTCCCGTGAACCTTCGTCATCACCAGATTCAAAAGCTTTGTCTGCTACTGGAAGAGCCTCACATAAACCCTAAACCCTAATGTTATAACAATTCTGAAAACCCTCAAACTTTCTTATGATGAAAAATGCTCTTTGCTTTCAATCTCTGGGAAAGATTACTGACAAGTGTTTTGCTTCCTAAAATTCTCAATCGAAACACCGACTCTATGCACAGCCAAATTGCTCAGCTTAACAATTTAAGATTTTAAGTAGTAAAATAAATAATATACAAAGATTTTTATAATTTAAAATCTTTAAACAAAATTCTACTTATTAATAACAGTTAAGATTATTAAATTTGGAGAAGGATATTGTAACAACGTCTTACTACTTACTACCATGCTACTACCAATCAATCTCACCGTTAGATTGATTATGTTAATCCAACGATTATATTTATTTTTATCTCTGTATGGTTATGATTCCCCATATTTAAAGTGAAAGCATTAAATTTGAGAAATCATGACTATACAAAGATGAAAATAAATATAACTATTGGATCAACATAATCGATTTAACGGTGAAATTGATTGGTAGTGACACAACTTGGTTGTTACAATATTTTTCTCCATTAAATTTTATATACCAAAAAAAAAGATTATTAAATTTTTTAATAAAGTATATAAATTATTTCAAAAATTTGATTTTAAAAAAAAAATATTGAACTCTTGATCTCGATTTTTTCCAGGGGTCAGGAATCTAAAAAAAATACATTTTTTATTTTTTATTTTATTTTTAAGAAAAAAAAGTCGAAACGGATACTAAGATGGCGTTAATTTTGAAAATGGGGTGGGGTTGTCTCAAATGATGATGGTAATAATGAGTGCAATTCAAAGAATGTTGATTCTGTAGAATGTAGTAGTAGTAGTAGTAATGAATTTGACAAGAAGGTTGTGGAGAAAACTCAAGGAACACCTCTGTAAATCTTGCTTGAAGAAAAAAAATGGAAGGTGATTATTTTTGTAAAATTGTCTCTCATTTCCAATAATATTTGACAATCAATTAAATATAGACTCCGAATTTGAGTTAAAATTTTTGATAATATTTTGACCTACCAAACAGCTTTCTCAGTATATTCCTAACAATCATTTCTCAGTAACAAAAAAAATATATCATCTACCAAACACCATCTTATACCAAAAATAACTATATAGCTTTAATTTTATTTCATGAGATAAGTTATTCTATCCACTTTTTTTTGTCTATCTTTGACTACCACTTTTCAATATCGTTAGATCAAAATCTCAAGAGGAGAGAGACAGATAAATATTAATTGAGATTCTCATCTAATGGTGTTTTAGAGTGATAAGTAGAAAAAAAATATAATAACTTATCCCTTTATTTTATTATTTGTTATGGTTTTGTATAATGAAATGATTAGCCTAATATCTTTATAATTAATCAGCCATAATCAACAAAAATGACAGAATTTGGAAGAATACTTTACAATTATATAGAATTAATAAAAGGGTAAGCCACTGGGAGTGATCTGGTAGTGAGTGGTTTGGGTGGTTGTATTAGGTTATGTGTTCAATTTTCATTTATATCTAAAAAAAGAATTAAGAAAGAGTTTAATATTTCTCATGTTATAGAAGATAAATTTATTTTTTATATACATAGAAGTATGTGGGACCTATATTTCTCTTTTTCTCACGTGAGTCCCCTATATTTTTCAGTGCGTGTTGGAGATAAATTCATCTCTTACAACATAAGAAACATTAAACTCGTTAAGAAAATATATCTTCGAATCGATCCCTTGAAATTTGAAAAACTCATTTAATTCGTTAAGAAATTTTTAAAAACATGCCTTCGAATCTATTTTTTAAAAGCTCCTTGAAATTATCTACCCTTCTATAATGCTTTTATTTTAGTTTGCCTTCACAAAAGCGACAAAGTCTTTATTATAATACATGTGGTTTATAAAAATAAGAAGCTGACAATAAAATGTTATACTTGCAGTTAATTTGTGATTTTGGATTCCATCTAAGAGCCCGTTTGTTTGTTTGGATTTTTCAAAAAAGTAACTTTTATCTCTTTCTTATTTTAGAAGTATTTTTACAAAAGTTAAAGCTATGTATATTTTTATAAAAATATTTAGTTTTTGAAAAAAAAATATTTGGTTTTTGACTTCTGTTTTTTTTAGAAGTTAAAATTTTTAGCTTCTGAAAAAAGTAAGTTTTTAGCTTTTTTGTGACTTCTGCTTTTTTTAAAAGCATATATCCAAACAAACTAAAAACGAGAAGTGTTTTTTTTTTAAGAAAAAAAACAGCTTTTGGAGAAAAAAACTCATCCAAACGGGCCATAAGTCTTCTAGAGCTTGTGCAAGATTGTGTGTGATTCATTAGTCATTGTGCTTTTTATTAAGCTTACCTTCAAAAGATTTTGATGGTAGGATATACTGGCAATAACTCGTAACTTGACAAAGGATGGTCTAGTATTTATGGGGTCAGATTAATATCTACTATCTAAAGTTAGCAAGATAATTCACACCAAAGAATGATCTCTGATGAAGAAGCCATTGTACCAGATGAACATTAAAATAAAAGTATTTTACCCACCAACTTGTTGGCCATATCCAAATCTAGAAGCCAAATTAGGTTCGTTTGGATGGTTGTTGAGTACAAAAAGTGTGTAATGTTAAAGAGTGTATGTGACACTAAGCAACTACATAAACCAATTTTGCATAAATAAAAATTATAAATAAAGTCAAACTTTTATTTTTTTTATGTCAAGCCAAAATTATATTTATTTTTTATCTCTCATATTCTAGATGGGCAATGTGGCAAAAAACTCTGGGAGGCAAGAAATATAATGTCTTATCCATATTATAAAGTAATTTTTGTTATGAAATAAATTTGTGAATATTTTACCTCTCTACCTCTACATCTTCTCTATTATGAGTAGCGTAACCACTTGTATATAGATTATTGTTCATGGTTACTGTTCATACGCGGGTTACTAGTAGTTTACTTTTCAGTATTTTTCATACATGTAGTATTGTTTATACGCGAAAATCATTGTGCAAAAAGTAAAAAAAATTCTATAAATAAGGGCATCCTTCATAATTCTCTGTAATAAAAAACTCAATACATTTTCTTTCTCTCTAGAATTCTATTCCTTTCTCTTAGATTCCCCATCAATTTTGTAAGACGTTATATGCACCATAATATCTACCAATTAAGGTTCAAATGTTTCCATAAAAGTAATTTTTGTCTACAAGGTATGCATTTGGTAAGTATTTATTTATGTGTTCTTTCATCAACTTCTATTTCGTTTTCTACTACTAAATCTCTATGTTCATCCTTATTTCTGCTGCTAAAGTAGAACTGAGTATTTGACAACATATATCACCATGTTCATGAAATAGCGTGTTTAAAAAAAATTCATATTTGGTATTTGACATCTTATAACTTATATCCTCCTGCTCCTGAAGTAGCTGTGAGTATTTGGTAATCATTATTATTAATTTAAGGATTTTCCATTATGTTATGGCAAGTATTGAAAAGCCAAGATTTCACATCCTCGAAGTAAGTGTATATAATTATAATTTTAGACTTATTGGTTCAAAAGTATTGTCTGAAGCAAATGTCAACTTTATGAAAGACTCTAGCCATTTTGAGGGCTATGAGCGAAGATAAGGATAAAATACTTGAACGGGTATTAGAAAATCTAACCATGGGTCATATGATGATAAAGGAAATAAGTTTAACGACAGTGGCTAATGAAATGAATATGGTTATTTAAAATAAAGACAAGAATGATGAATCTCACGTCATTGAAAATACGCCTACATTATATACATTCCGGAAGGATTTCACAAAATGAATGTTTTTTATTTGTCATCATTTTTATGAATAACGTGGTATAGTTCCTAAAGAACTATAACTTTAGACCATGATTGAAAAGACCTAACTGATTTGATGAATAACTTGAAATAAAATATTGAGAGAAAATATTCTTTATATTGTATACATCTTGAATATGCTCCAGGAAAATTTGGCAAATAGGTTAAACCATATTCCCTAAAACTAATGTTCCAAACTATAATTTTAGACATGACAATATTTATGGTCATAACAAATGATCATAGATATGACTAAGACAAATTATAGTAACTTTATTGAAGAATCCAAAAGAGCTTGTATTATGTTACCTTGAGAAGCAATCAAGGAACGAGATAACCAGTGAAATAAGATTTCTTTATCATTTCTATGATGATCTTAAAGTCAAGTATTTATGGCAAAAAATTCATTAGATCCTGCAGAATTTTGACCAATTTATGTGTCATTCCTTGAAGAGAATGCTATACAATTACATAATCATGGATATCGTCATGGGGATGGCCATAACAATATTTGGCATTGCGAATTTGCGATGGCTCTAGAAGAGCTAGTTATTCATTTAGATTAATCAATTCGATGAAATCATTTTTCTGTCATTGAGGGAAGAAAAAGGTGAAAAGGCAAAAGGCACAAGAAAATTGTTGGAACACATCAACATTGTCTATCTAGTTATATACCCAAACTATTGAGAACTTGAAGTTCAAACAATAATTGATTTGCAAGATATTTTAATTCATTACAAGTATTATTGTGCGATTAATTATCCCTGAAGGACATCCTGCAAATATAATGACTAATTAATATAAAGTATAGAAAGGATATTGTTCCTTGACTAAAGTGAATAAAAAAATGACACTCCAAAATAGATCAATAAGAAATTAACAACTTCATAATTTTAAAAAAGTGATCCCAAAAGTGGTCTAGATACTAGAAAATTATAATATTTCATTAAACTCTAGAAATATGAGGAGAAGATATAAAGTAATGATTAACTATATGTCATTATTTCTAAAAATGAACATGAACTTGAAGTTCACTAGCCCATATGCTTTTAAGCATACTCTTTTTGTCAACTTGTACTTGGATTTTGGTTGTACTATATATGTCCTCATACCACCTGAACAACGTCCTAAATGAGGCCTCACCGAGGAGTTGATATTTACGTGATTTTTTGAGACTTCATAAATAATCAAGTAATTGAAGCTCCTGATGGACGATTTGATTACTATCTTATTCACTGATTATATATATATATAAC